GTTGATCAAAAGGAAAAAAAAAAAAAATCTGAGTTTCAATGATAAATTTCAAGTTTGATAGTAAGTTTGTTTATTCACTCGAGTTCTATATTATTATATTATTATGAGTGAAATTGTAAGAGTTGGGATTGTTTATATTGTTTGGAGTTGTATTTGGTGGATTTTTGTTGGAGTTGGTTATGTTGGAGATGTTGATCATTATTATTTATTAGGATTTGGCTCCCTTTTAAGCATAGCTTTTCTCTCACATATTTCCAAATATTTCCTACCCCTTACCCTAGCCTTACATTAAAAGCTTTAAAGACCTTTCGACCTTGTACATAGAGTTGTGTATATATGAAAGTGTTGCTTATCAATGCAAGTTATGACTTGACATATTCCGAGTCGACTATTAGGTTGAGTGTATGTCTTTTTAAACACACGAGTGTTGTGAGTTTGGGAGGGCATTGTTCACATTAAAAGGGTGGTTGGAGAGCGATCAAGTACATCTTTTACTCGCCACATAAATGAGAGTTGAGTGTGTGAGCACTAGTCTTGAATTCTATATGCTCTTGTGGTTTGCTCTATTTGACAATTGTTAGGGAAGATTGGTAGTTGGATGGATTTGATTGGTTGACTTTGATACATGTTTGTCAGATTTACCTTAAATCGTATTTATTGATTTAATTATTATTGGGGTGAAGTATTGATTTATTTATTCATTGTTTTGCTTAGGGACAAGCAAAGGTTTGGCTTGGGGGAGTTTGATAAGTCTATTTATTATATATTTTATTCCCCGTCCCACGGTCATATTTGTACTTATTTGAGATCTGTAGGGCTATTTTTATTACTAATATACGTTTTTTAGTGTTTTTGTAGAGTTGACTTTATTTTGTAGGAATTTGCAGATATATAATAATTCCCGAGCTTACTGAGCCACTACAAAGATATTGGAGTTTGATCGTGTTTTATGACCGTATATTTAAAGCTCAAGGCCGTTCTAAATAAATTTAGTTCGGTGATTAAGGGCTTAATTAGAGAAGAGAATGGTCCAAAGTTCTCACAAACAAGACGGACCAAACTAATAAATAACAAGTCAGGAAGGCCCAAGACATACAAATTCAAGATCCGAGCAGCCCAACTCGCTGCTTAACGGCTGGGGCCAAACGGACTGGGCCTAGCTCGATTAGGCTTTAATTTCTCGCTTATGTTTGCTTATGTCGGTTGATGGGAATTATAAATACCCAATTAGTGGGTTGTTGCCGGGGGCTTTTTCAATAGTTTTTAGGGGGGATTTCATGTTTCTATTAGTGGACTTTATTTTTCTTTACAAAACTTTTGCTCAGTTTTCTTAAGTTTTAGTTTTATTTACTTTCCATTTATTCTTTAGTTTTGAGCATTGTTATAGATTTTACAGAGGTTTTAGTTTTATTTTCTTATACTACTTTTGCAGCTTTTGTGAGATTTTTAGTTAAGTTTATTTAATTTGCCTTGCTTTTATGTTGCCAACTTTTATTTAATTCGTTATTCTTAGCTTTTCATTGTGATTGTTTTCATTCTAATTGCTTTTATTGTATTGCAGTTTTAATGTTGTTTTCATCATGCTTAATTTAATCGCTTTTATTAGTTTAGTTTTAATTATGCACGAGTAGTTTAATTCTAGGGTTTGTGGAGATCCATGATTAATATGAAAGGGTAATTTATTATTGTTAATTGTTAATATTTGATTGATTTTCTATTGATTGATTTGATGCTATGAAATTAGATTAGCGCTAGTTTAATTGTATGAGTAACGCAATATTGATTCGAGATTCGAGAGATGAGAATTAATATTAAGGCCTAGTTTCAATAGGTGAAATTAATTTATAAATGGTTAAGTCGAGATTCGAGAGATGAGATTTAATACCGGTAGATTAATTCTGTGATTGTAATACGTAGCGAAAGCCCTTTATAATCTGGTTAATTGATGCGCTGATGATTGATTATTATGTTTTACCCTGGAATATTATTTATTGGTAAACCTATGCCCTAGATCTTTTATTTATTAATTTCCTCCTACTTTTATTTCTCCCTACTCATATTCTTCGTAGTATAGTTCCTTTAAAAAACAACTCTTGGTTACTTTAATAATTTAGATTATAATAATTAATTAGGAATAGAAAGACTTGTTTCCCTGTGGATTCGACCCTACTTCCCTATCTATATTTAGTTAGTGGTTTTAGGTAATACTTTTGATTGAGTGATACGACTATACCCTGTCATATATATATATATATATATATATATATATATATATATATATATATATATATATATATATATATATATATATATATATATATATATCAGACTTTAGTGGTGCTCATATTATTCATAAAATCAAGGCCAGCCATTAGGGTGTAGAGCCTCAAACGCTGCATAGGGCCCAACTTTGGTTGGGGCCTCAGATCATTAAAAATGTATAACTAATATATGCTATAGAATTACTTATGCATATTAATTGTGGCTTAGTGGTTTCATGAGCTCCAACATCTATACTTGCAAGGGGTTCGTGGTTTAATTCTCACTAAGTCTTTTTTTTTTTTTACAAAATTTATTTAATGCCTATGCTATTCTTAAAAAAAATATCAGTTTTGTCTAAAAAAAATTATCAGAATTTTCTTAAAAAAAAAGTATCAGTTTTGGATTGATTAGATACAAAAAATGAGAAAATAGTCATTAAAACTAGAAGTATATCCTTTATATATTTCTAGCACAAAAAAAAAAAAAAGAATTTCATCATCTATCCTCTATTTGGCTAACAGATTAAGTTCCACGTTAACAATTTATATTTATCATATCTAAAAATAAAGCTTTATCACAACTTTAAATTCAGTATTTTTTTCAATCCTTTATAATTTCATCTAATGTCCCACACAAATAAACATTCAATATTTTTTCAATCATATATAAACTCATCTAATATCCCACACAGATAAACGTAAAACATTTGTAGGCAAAGAAGCATATTTTAGAATTTGAACACCATGAAATTAAATTCTTGAATGTGATGAACGGTGATAATGAGAAGTAAGTCATAAGTGTTAATTTTGCAAAAGGGGCGGGTTTAATTATGCAACTTTATAACCGGCACGTTCAACGATTGATATAAAGGATAATTGTAGGAAATATTTCAAGAATCTCACAGTTGAGCCCCACTGGGATCATACACTTAAGCACAAAGGCGTCCAAAGGGAAGGAAGTTAGAGCATAAGAGTCGTCAAAAAGTTTTAGGAACTTGTAAACCGTTCACAAGTGAAGCTTACACCCCTTCACAATCCAAGAGATCGCTAACTTCATAGTGGGCCGGAACTATGACTGGATATTCGGGGATGAAGGTACAAGTCCAACCTAAAAGAGATTGAATCTGCCCTAAATTCCTCTACTTTATTCTTCTCATATTCATGTGCGCTTTCTGACTAACATACAATCAATATTAATCCTAAAACTGTTTAATCTATGTTGATTGAATATTAATGCACAAATAAAACTATTATTGGCGATCACTTGAATTAAAAATATATTGGCCTAAATAAAATTATTAATTATCTTATTAAACGTGATTTCAAGTACAACTTTCTTTTAAAACTACAAGAGAGGGCGTGATAAATAAATAACAATAATATCAAGCAACATAATAATATTGACACAACACTCATCATCATCATAATATCAATCTCATTAAAGTATAATATATTATTAGCAAGATCATAGGCATGATACAAACAAGATTTATAACAAATCCTAGCATGTCGCTAAACAATAAAATTCAAAGCTTTATTCCTAACTTGATACTAACATGATAGAAGAAATTAGGAAGCAACCTAATAAGCATGATACCAGAAACACACATCATATTAGAAATATTAGTTAATACACTAATTAAACATGATACTAGGAATTATAAAGACATCCTAAAAACATGATACTAGGAATTAAAATAATCTAAGCATAGAAATAGAGCAATTGAATTATTCACTTTGTTGTCTCGTACCTCTTTCTATCAAAACAATACACACGTTAGTAACTTCAATAAAAAATATTAAATCAAATGATATTTAAATAATTAAAATAGGGATTTGGGACCAAACCCTCAGAAATTATCAAACTTTCACGTCTAGAGCGAATGCAACTTCGAGCTTGGCTAGGTGTGTCTAAGTATCTTGATGGACATATGGTGTATTTTTGAAAAGGTTTAGAAAATCAAGAAAGAGAAAGAAAGAATAAGCTTCTAGTTTTGAGAGAAAATGGAATAGATGATTGTTGATGATTTAAAACGAAGGAAATAGACCCTATTTATAGAGCAAAACATCCGGAAACAATAGAAAAGAGTTATAATTTGAATTGGAGTAAAATTCCTTTTGACGCGGCAAGATAAAAAGTATCGCGACACGATAAAAACGGTTTTTTGCGGATTTTGTTTTTATCATAACTTTTGATTCAAAAGTCAAAATAAGGCATATAATATGTCGTTGAAAAGCTCTTGAATTCTACTTTCCAACCCAATTAGAATAAGTTTAAAATATTTTTTATAATAAAATATATGGTAAAAATATTGGAAGGGTATTAGATTTGGATTGAGTTCCGTATTTCTTTCAAATCTTTTTCGTTATAGCTCGGAAATAATATTATAATATATCATTGGAAGATAATTTCAAGGGCTATCCAACCATCTAATATTTGGATAAAAATTATGAGGTATGAAAATAATATCTGACTGTCTTTGAACGTCTTTCATTTTGAATAGAATTAGGACTTTCAAAAAGAGAAGTTTTATTTATTCAATTTTAAATTTTTTTATCTTATCTTTCCAAAAAAGATAATTAACATATTTTAGAAAATTAATAGAAGCTTCTAATTCATCCTTATTATTTTAGGAATAAGATTAATGGACCCTCCACATGATCATTGGGTCGCACATTAAACTTGTTTAGACCCAGTTTAGTATTTTGATCATAACTTCCTAGTTATAACTCGGAATTGGGCTTATAGTATATCATTGGAAAAGTCTTTTCAAATCCCATCTAACAACACAACTATTGGACCCTGATTATGGACTATAATAAACTTTAGTGGACATTTTTCATAAATAAGATACAAAATGAATGATTTTCGAAAACAGAAAGAAGTATTTTTATTAAAAATAGAGGCATCACGAGTAGGGGTGTTCAAAAATACTCGACCCGTTTGACCCGACCTACTGACCCGCAAAATACCCAACGGGTATTTTTTGAGTTTTTTCCCCATTTTGCGGGTCGGGTACCCAACCCGCTAAAATATCAGATTCGCAGGTCGGGTAATGGGCCGACCTCTGACTATTTCGGGTACCCGTTAAATACCCGCTTTTCTTTCTTTCTTTCTTTTTTTTTTTTTTTTTTTTTTTTAATTTTATTAGCTGGAAAGTGGAAACCCTTTAGGGAATTAGGGTTACTACTCTTTCCTCTTTTTCACTAGTAGCTAGCCGCATACTCACTCTCCCCTATTCTCTCTCCTCTTTCACTGAAACACTTCCTCTCCTTCCTCCCTCTCAAGCGACCTCCTTCCTCCCTCTCAATTTCTCAAAGTCTCAAGCGACCTCCTTCCTCCCTCCCGTCAGATAGACCCTCTCACTCTCTCAGGCGACCTTCATCAGCCGCGCAAGGTGAGTCTTGGCTCGATTTTTTTTGGGTTAATTTATTTGCTTGTTAATTCTTAGATCGTTAATTTATTGGGTTAATTTATTTGCAGGTTATATTTGGTGGAAGCAGGTTTTTAATATGATTTTGCTAATTTGTTGCTGGAAGCAGGTTCACTATGAATTTGTGAAAACATCAGCTTTTTTTTTTTTTTTTTTTTTAATGAAATCAGCAGGTTGTTTTAATATATAAACACATCATTTTTTGTTTTTAATGAAAAAGTTAATTTTTTAATAAAATCAGCAGGTTTAACTCTATATTAACAAGTTTTTTTTTTTTTTAAAAAAGCAAACATATATATTGAAATTTCGGGTACCCGGTATGCGGGTACCCGCTTTTAGCGGGTTGGGTAATGGGCCGCACAAATAACTACCCGCACTTCCGGGTACCTGAAATCAGGAGTCTCTTTCACATTTCACCTCGTTTGATAATCAAATGACGTGAAAAGTACTCATCGCTAAGTTTGGTTTTGGGGAGACATAATTTGGTTTCTACTATAATGCAAGCCCGAAAAATCATATTTTCACCGTTTTCACAATTTGAAAAAAAAAAGTTAGTTAAACAAAAACATATAGCTTCACATATATTAGGGCCTGTTCACATTTACTGAGCTGAACTGAACTGAACTACATTAATTGGACTTGAACTGTACTAATTGGAGCTGAACTGAACTGAATTGATTGGAGCTGAACTAAACTGAACTGAGCTGAATATTTTATGAGAGAGGGAAATTAGGAACTGAGCTGAACTGAACTAATTGGAGCTGAACTAAACTGAACTGTTTAGAGCTGAACTGAACTATACTGAACTGAAATTAAGTAAATGTGAACAGACCCGTCTTTTCTTTCTATCTTTCTTTAAGAAATGGTTTGAATTGTTGTTTAAACAAAAAACTTTACAAAATATACATGTATGAACCTTGATCGTATAAGATATTATGATACTTAAGTATATGGCTTTTCAATTCCGAGAAAATATTTGATATGATATATTATTGTGTGTTTGTTTTTAATTCATCTATGAGAAAGTTTACAATTTATTATCAATATTTTAAGGAAAACAAAATTAACTAATAGCAACAAGCTTTTTATTATAGTAACGAGGTTTAATAAAATGCTCTAGTTATTAAGAATACAAGTTTCTAGCATAGTTAGTTGCATGTAGACATTGGAAACATCTCATGTTTAGTTTATGTTTTGTTATAATAATGAACTTATGCTAGACCAACAATGTTCCGACTATCTATGACTGCTTCAATTGGTTTATTCTCGTGCATCAAAGGTAAAAATTATTTTCCTTGCCTTTTGTAAATTGGAAGAATCTCGCCGGAACAGTTTAGAGGTCTAACTTCTCTAGGATCGTTCTCCTTCATTATAGATGATTTTTAGGTGATTCTTTGTTTGAATTTGGGTGATTTTTTTGTCTACTTTTTGCATGTAAAATTTCAGAATTTATTGAGTTTGTTTGCTATTAAACTGGGTTATTTTCTAAAAACTAGTTAGTTTTGGTTCAATTTGGTATATACTTCTGTTTTAGTGCGTTTTTCTTAGCTTAGAGATGTGTTGAGATTTTCACTGGGATATTCCTACGTGGTTTAGGGTGTTTTAAGAGTGTTTTACTCATATAAATTGCTTCCTTTCTAACTTATGTAATACTTCTTGAGAAATTATATACCGTGAAGGAAAAGTTTATTGATAGATCAGAAGCTAGGTTTGATATCTTTGCTTGCTTGGTACACAATACAATTTGATGGCCTGTATGGTTGTCAGATTTACTTGTATCCTCAAGAAGTAAAGTTTTTAATTTTTTTTCTTATTTTTATGCACATATCAAAATTGATATCAGATGCATCTAGCTTGTGGTGGTCACATTTCAGGTTGGAGTTCACTCAAGCAAAGGTCAACAATGTTTTGAGCTAGTTTAGGCACTTAGATTCATCGAGGCAATTAAATAATTTTGCAAAGAATGATTTTCAATTCCTAAGTGTATATGTCGATGTCTAATGTCACCTGAGTAGTCTCCCTGTATTTCAAGAAACTTCTATCTTGTGTATGTGATAGGTTGTGATATCAGGCACCTGCTATCTTGTGTATGTGATGGTTTGGTCTAGTTCAGGCACCTCCGCATCTGCTAGTTAAGGCACCTCCACACCTGCTAGTTCAGGCAATTGAAATTTGAGCTATTTCAAGTACCTCATAGCTTATGTATGTAATAGATTGTGCTAGTTCAAACACCTAATTAAGAAACTGAAAATTGAGCTAGTTCAGGCACCAAGCATCTGGTACCCTATGTTTTGTTGTATTTTATATGTGAGGTTGTTTTATTGCTCTCCCCTTAACTATAAAAGCAATTATATGTATGTGAAAGTTTAGTCTGATACAACTATATGTATGTGATAGCTAGTTTAGTCACAACATAGTTTTAGTGAAATTAATGGTTTTGATTTCTGTATTGAATTTATTTGTGACTAGTTTTGTCTAATAAGTGACTGAAGTTTTTCTTTTAAGTTTTGATGCTTATTTTCTTTTATATCCCCCCAGTTTGATGCATTGACCATGCTGGAAGAGTTCACTTGGTGCCTGTCTAAAATAACACTTTTTAATGTATATATTTCTTTCCCATGCAGAATTCTGTCGCAATATCAATGCCTAGTGTGAACTGCTGCTATCCCATACAGAAAAGTTAAATTTGTGAAGCATATAGAGACAAAATTGACAAAATCGTCAAAATTTGACTGTTGACCATTGTAACAATTAACTACTAGCTTTTTTTAGTTATAGAGTATTATTTATTATTGTGAGTTGTGAGAGAAATATTTGTAATTTAATTTACAAGTACATCAATTCAATATAATTTACAAGATGTCGCTTAATTAAAATTTGTCTTATATTGGTTAGATTGATAGTTATTGTATTTTATAAAAGTTTATTAATAATTAATGGTCTTTACATTAAAAATAAATAAATGTAGTGTATGGGTGGTGGAAGTAAAAGAATTTGCTACTGCTACCATTTTATTTATTTTTTTTTTAAATAAAAACACTATTCGTAATTGGTGTTAGGCTATGCTAGTTTCAAATTTTACTCTATTTGTAACCGGCATAACTTAACGCCAGTTACAAATAGTATGCTTTCTAACTTGGAAAATAGCCTATTTTTAACTGGCGTTGGGTAAAGCCAATTACAAATAGTACATTATTAGTAACTAACATTAGTCAGTTATACGAATAATTTTCACTAGTTGTAACGGTGGCAATAGCAACCAATAATGTCAGTTACTAAACGTCAATTTCGCTAGTTACAAAGGACAGTTTTCTACTAGTGTACGTGGCTCAATACTTAACTTGGCGACAAACTGGAATAAAAGTTATTACAAATGGCAGTTTTTCTATTAGTGTTCTATTTTTACTAAAATAAAAGTATTTTTAACAAACTAAAATTATTTTTTTTATTGATTCTATATTATTTTGTTAGATAAATTAAATATTTTATACATGAATATTTTTTAAAAAACTTTTTAAAACGATTTTAATAATGAAAATAGAACTGAGCTATAGAATATTTATTAAAAGTTATGAGTAATTTTTTATATATGAAATATTATAAGTATACCGATAACAAAACTATATACAATATTTTTATCTTACAAAATTTATCATTATCATCATCATCATCATCATCATTATTATTATTATTATTATTATTATTATTATTATTATTATTATTATTATTATTTGTGACTACAAAATACGAATCCATTATCGAATAGATATGTCTGATTTTTTATATTGTTACAAATTACCTTATTTAAAATATATTTCTTATTAATAATTTGTAAGAATTATATATCATATATTGTGTTATTAAAAAACATGACATAGGGAGTTATATTTATAAGATATAAAATAATAGTTATGGAAAATATTTTACTATCCGTGAGGCCCATTAATGGGCCTCATGAGGTAGTGACAAACCATATAAGAAGTTGGGCTAGAGTAGTTAGAATATTATAGGAATTTGGGCTTCACATGGACACTTATTTCTAGATATGATCTATAAATAAAGTCCATGTCTAGGTTTGACAAAAGACACAAATAACGTAAAGTGTGAAACAAGGCAACCAGAAATTCCCTAACCCTAATCTCTCTCTCTCATGCTCGCCCTCCCCTATCTCTCTCCCATCCATACGGTCGGCCTCTCCCCTTGGTGGTGCGTGGTGTTCGTGGTGGTAGATCGTAGTTAATTCGTTCCTCTCCTCTCTGTAGAAGGTTGATTGAAATGGTTCAATCACGACTAACTAGCATTAGTTGAGGTTCAGTCTGTGCCCGTACTAGACTAAGTAGAGGAATCACGTTTGGGGTTCTTATTCTCCTATTGTTTTTGTTCGATCACATGTGGAATCATATCACGCTTCAAAGGTACAATTATATGTTATTTATGTGATATGTATGCTTGTAGATCCTGTTTAGGTGCTTATGAATGTGATTCATGCAATTCCGCTTATAGTACCTAAAACTCTATAGATACGTTATGGGCTAACCAAGTAGCAAATTTTACAGTAAAGTCGCCAATATTAGACAAACACCAGCAAGGTTCATCTTGGATGGACGAGGAAGGAAGAGGGATACTGTCACGGTCACTCTTGGGTCGGCCTAGGCAAGGCCGTCGACCACCCCGCATAGGCGCGCAAGGCCTTCGAAATCCTACTTACCTACACGAGCAAGTATGCGCTCGGTTCGGGAAGAACGATCCAAGTGAGGCTAGAGTAGCTCACTACCATGTCTAAGGTATGTGAGGTTATCAGGGATGACCTTCGGGTGCTTAGACCGTGGTGCTGGTGAAGCATGGGTCAACTAGGCCTTGGGCTTATGGCTAAGCATGCACGCGCACACTAAAAAATCCTCGGAGTGTTTGAACGAGCAAAACTCCATAACAACCTTTGATACTTATTGAGGGGACTTATTAGGACCCTAATAGATCATACATGGCCTAAGGGCCAAGGTTGGGTTCAAGGATCGGACTTTAGAGTCCATTATTGTGTTACTGTCAGTTGGGTGTTCACTAGTATTCCAAGACTTGAGCTAAATAAAGTTCTTTAGGGGGCAAGTGCTCACTCAAGGGTCAGGGGCTGACCTAAGGGTGGCCTTAAGGATAGGGACC